TTTTATATAAACCAGTTTGAGTCACTAACTTGATTTTAGCGACTAATTTTCCATGCTATTTTCATTGGTTTCTCTTGACTTTTTACTACTAGCTTGATGGAGTTCATAGATTTTAATTAGGAGATCCATGTGAAATAACCCTTTACGACTTGGAAGAAATTATTATTTTTCACCATAACATGGCAATATTATTATCTTCACATTCAAATAATTTTACAATATGACACTAGACTCAATCTCTCAATTCTCAGAGGGTTATGGAGTAATTGGTTCGCTGCGCCGAACTGCTTCAATGCCTGGCAGACTTCACTTGTTCACAAAACGCAGATAAGGGGATAAAAAAAAAACGGACGAAGGAAACTTGCATTTCCTTGTTTTCCTTTGGCGTCAAGCGAGTGGTAAAGAGATATATACCATACAACTATTTTCAACAATGGTTAAACACAGCAATCAGCTGATGGGAGAAAAGTCATCTAATAACAAACGCAAATCCTACAAATTGACGATATGAAGCTGCATTGGACACAACACAGATTCGTGAGTTACATATTAATCATCATCTTCACAGCCTATCAAAGTCTGTTGCTGGACTTAGATCACCCCCATAGACTGCCTCATAGAGGGATATTGTATTATACCTAGGGATCACGTAGTTGTCACGCGGATTAGCAACCGCAGTTTTTAATTAAAATCACACCTCGAACGAGAAGCGGAAGAGGTCGGGTTTACTCTCGACTTGACAAGGTCGGTCGCCATTCTCATAAAACTCGTTAGGGTCGGCGAACTAAAGCACATAAGTCAAAAATTTGCTTTATTTTTTCTTTGTACCAAAATTATTTATTTAAATCAATACATCAGCAGACTAAAGCACATGATCAGTACACTTGGTGGGGTTTGAATCTCAAGTGGCGTCCCTTTTCAACCTTTTAGTTCCCATGAATCTTGCGTTATAAAAAACAGAAGTTGAGTTATGTTCACGCTCTCGGATTTCATGGATACAGAAAAGTGACTTATGTTATTAGAAACTTTTAGTGCGTCGCGTTATGTCGATGTTTATCTATGGGGGTATGTACCCAAAAGATTATTTATTATAATATCTCGGTCGATCTTGATATACGTAATGTCTAGGTAGTACATATAATCCTGTCCTGCGCTAGTCTCCGTTGAGGCAGGCCGTCGTGACCGAATTCGGTCTCGAGGATATTATTATTTTGATGTCATCAGTCTCTTGTGACATCCACAGGATAGCGGATTATTGAAGCATTATACTCGGTAGCGGATTCTTTTACGTCGTCACTATACAGCGAAAGTAACAGCAGTGAAAATAAAACTTGGGAAAAATAGCCATCATTTATTTGATTACAAAATTTTTCGTCAGGAAATAAATTGCTACATAAAATATTTTAACAAGAAATGCCTCAACTGCTTAACAATTTACTGCTGCGGGCGTTTTGAGCCTTAACCACTTACACAGTTCCAATTTTACATACGAATAAAAAAAGCTATGAGCCATAGACAACCTCGACAGACATAGAAAACATTTATTGAAAAAAATCCTAAACAGTGATTGATAAATGATAAAATTAGTTCATTAACGTGCATCGTAAGCTTCAGATCACAAATTGGTCTATTTGGATTGGTCGTCGGATAAAACAAGTTGTAAATTTTAAAAAGCTGAAAAGTGTATACAAATCTTTACTTAGCTAGACATACATTCTGCAGCGATTGTCGCAGGCCTTACTATGAAATACCGTGCACAGAAAATCACAGATAAATTGTGGTCACCGAAATTCATCGTTACCGCTACAAAAGTGACATCAATTGTAGTTAACAAAGTATAATATGCGCTTTATTGATCCGCATCTCAAATAAGTGGCAAGTAGTCTGTGCTCTGTGCAAGGCAATCTCTAATATTAGTTACAAACATTATTAATGTAAACGACAAGTTATAAATCAACATTTACATTCGAGTGCAAGTGTAACAGTCCCGGGTGCAACAAAATTATGCCGCGTCGCGTCATCCGGCTCGAAGGACCGGTCACAGCAACCTTCAAATCTACAAAGCGAAGCTTAGTAGCAATAAACTGTCAGCTTTTATATATTTGTCGCAGTATGATATCGTATTAACGCTACACTATTATCACATCTCAAAAATATTACAAAATGACCCAAGTGTGCAATAGTTATATATGCGCCTTTCGCCGATAAATATTGCGATCCAACCCTGAACATTTCTTGACAAACATTCATTAACCATTCCGGAATTAATAGTACAGGTTCAGAATTGGAGATGACAATGTTTTCAGCTAGTTTGTGGCGTAATAATGACTATTGCACCGATGCAAAATGGCGTCCCGTTTCAAACCAATATCTATGTGCACCCGCTCGGAACGCTCGCTCTCACTTATATATAATATTACATTAATTACAACTCTAACGTCTAAGGTAAATACATCGTTGACAATTGGACATGCTCATGCTTCTGTCATGTCGGCTTGAGGCTTACATTGTGTGCTACTTAGCTCTTATACAAACAACTCAGAATAGGAACGTCGTGTCAGAAGGCAACATTCCAACGTACGTTTGGTGACGTCACGTGGTAATAAAGCTTAAGGGAAATTTACATTTGGTCAAAACTTCTTACATCGAGACGCATATTGCTAACCATAAAACTTTGGCGTGAACGATATTGAAAGCACATCAAACGTCAAAAGAATGTTACCATTTGTGCACGCGTGTTACGAATTCGCACGAAATTACACTTAATGATATTGCAATAAATTTTACCCAAAGAATTTTTTCGTTCGTAGCATCAAATGACATACTATGAGTGGGGAGAAACACAACTCTAGGCACGGAGACACTTGCTTAGCTATCCTACTCGTAAATCGGACTTATCTAAAACGTTCAAGTAGCCAAACATTTAATAAAGCTGCCTTATAACAGGACGTATCGTTGTACAAGAAAATCGGATGTAATGAAATTCCTTTCGAGTAGCCGATACAAGTATTGTAGAATCCACTATTGTTTAAATAAAGATGCTAACAAGCAAAAAATTCATTTAACGAGTTTCATTAATGTTTTTTTTAACCCGTGTAAACAATTTCCAAACTTTACAACACATTGTTTGCTGGGTTTTGTATTCATTCACATTGTGTCCTTCCTGTTGAAATTTAAATTTTGTTATATTTTACTTCATTTGAGTTTCATCTGTGCTTCAAAAAAGAAATGTTATAATATGAATAATATAATAATATTTGTCTAATAAAGGATTTATATTTTAGATAAACGTTTTAGATTAGGCCTTAAATCGTAAAAAGAAACAATATTATTTACAAGCACCAATTTATTTGAAAGCTGTAATAATATAATCTTATAATATTTAAAATGGTTAAGTATAGAAAAATAACAAACTGTGTGTTACTATAAAAAAAATCAAATACCTGAAAACGTCAGCGTTACGAGATCATCGCGCATGAGTTGCTAGGTCTTCGATACGAATTATAATTATATACTAATTCAGTTTGATGTGCTTACTGCTAGAGAATAAGATTTATTTTACAAAAAAAAATATAAAAGTGTAAAGTCCACTTTCTTTTCATGAATGTTTAAGTTGATTGTACATTCAAATGATTTAATTATACTTTAATAAATACAATCAATTTGTCAAATTTGCCTTTTGGTTGTAATAGCAAAACTGTCACCTTCCAACTTATAATTTTTTTCACATAGTGTTTGTGAAGCGGAAGATGACAGAGCTTGAGTATAACAATAAAGCCTTGTATGGACTAAGCGTTCCAACATACGCATGATCTAGGTACGTTGAATACGTGTACAGGGCACTTTTATACATTGCGAGATTATGAACGAGTGACGAAAAGTCGCAAGTCGGCCAGCCACCAGCCAGTATCCACCATGTCTCGAAACACAGCCGTCGTGTGCACCACCACTGCGGCACTTTTCATTGTGCAACCAAAGTCAGACTGGCGGCGACTCGCCGCGAGTCGACACACGTGCTCAAATTTTTATGTAGGCGTAACCGACTGTACGCGTATTTAACCTGCGTAGATTACGCGCACATTGGAACGCTTAGTCCGTACAAAACCTTATAATATATAATGTCTGGTTTATAGGGATTATCGAACGTTTAATGTTTAGGGGTGTATTCAAGCCAATTAAGTATAAATTTTTAATTAAAAAAATGTGTGTCCAAAGCATCACATATTTACAATATGAAAGTATTATGTAATAGCAGTTTCAATGGACATTTACAAAAATTTTATTTGAACGATTATTTAAAATCCCTGTCGACGTTCAACTTGGTCTTGAGAATCATTAACAATTTATAAGACAGATCTTGGGATTAACGTCGAATTTAGGCAGAAAAAGTTTACTTAGCTGTGTACGTGGATGACGACTTTACTCAGAAAACTAATAGTTGGCTGCTAGGTCAAATAAAAGCCACAGATAAATCGTTGTACTAGTTATGACGAAATAACATAGACATACTGCCGGAGTAAAACATAATTAGACTGTGAATATTGTATTAAGTTTGATTAGCTGGCGATAGATAGCGTAGCCAGCTAGGTCAAGTGGTGTAAAGTCAAGTTAATAGTTTAAATGAATGTAAATGAAAAGTACAATTTGGCTTGGAGGATTAGATATCAGGTTACAGCGTGTAAAGAGGAGAATCCCAGCGTGATCTGGCTCGAAGGACCAGCAGCGACAGGACAGATTCTATCGTATTAATAATGCAGATGGGAGCGCAAACGCATCGCACCGATAGTCTGACTGCCACCAGACTACCATTGCACTATCAGGCTTGAAGAATCAGCGATGATATGGCCATCGATGCGAAGTGGTGGGTAGTGGTAGGGGACATTGATTGGTTACGTGTCGTCGTTGAAGTGTCGACGGCTAGAGCATCAGTACACGATCCGGCTCCAAGGAGTAGTGACGCTACGGCCGGTGGCAGGTAGTGGCGGAGGGTGGAGGGGCGGCTACGTGTAGTCGTTGAAGTCGTCGATGGCGACGCGGCGCTGGCGCTCGGGCGCGGCGGCGTAGGGTGCGGGCGCGCGCGCGGCGGCGGCCAGGCGCTCGGCCTCGGCGCGCCGCCGCAGCCGCTTGATGAGGCGCAGCCGCTCCAGTGAGTTGGACGCGTACGGCGCGCCGCCCAGCTTCAGCGACTGCGAGATCAGCGACGCCAGCTGCGCACGAACACACACCCATGACCACTCACTCTACCATCTCATTGAATTAAATATGCTGTACGAGCCGCAAAGGCTAACAGCGCTAACATTACAGAAAAAACATCTCATTTCTTTCAACTCTGTAATCGACTATCGATTTCGTTATTCGATAGAATAAAAGGTATGTAACGAATCTCTCGTAAATCATAACAAATATATCTCGCTAATACATTCATTGACACATTTAAAAAGAACGAAAAAAAAGTTTAATCTCTTCTTATATAATTATCGTACGTACTTTCCACACATATTACTAATAAATACTATTAAAAAAATTATTTCACTTATTTTTATTGCATGTATTGTATGTATAATTACTGCGTTATTTAATATAGCAAAAATGTTTCTAACAATTGAATTGCAATTTAAATTTAGCTTTTGCTTAAAATTTTGCCTTCACTGCCTTGTTTATCGTGGTGTAAATTGAAACTCAAACTGAGCACATCTACAAACATGCTGACCAAATATTACTAGTATTAAAATCTGCAGCACATCGAGTTGTCAATAGGTATCAGCAGATCGAGCAGTATACGAAACTCGCTGGCCAGGGACGTAAACTACAAACTCAGGCCAGAAACGACCAATTTATCGTTTTCAGCGTACTTTGAAACCGGACAATAAAACTATTCAAAAAAACAAGCATATTTTCCAGTTACGATCTCTTCGTAAAATTTATGTGTGGCGTTACCATAGCCGACCGAAAGCGAAACGAAGAGATTCGCAATATGACAGGATTGAAAGATGACCTTATCACAAAAATTGATAGGGGCGTACTCCAATGGTTTGGGCACGTTGAACGAATGAGTGAAGACCGAATGGTGAAGAAAATATATAGAGCGAAAGTAAATATTAAAAGGTGTCGAGGTAGACAGAGACTAACTTTCGAAGACAATCAAGACAAATGAGCAAATTGCTCTAAGAGGGGAGGGTCAAGAGTACTCGGATACCTAGACGTGCATGTATGAAGAAGTTAATGAACCTGAAAGAAGCGAAAGAGGTATGTAAGGATCGTGACACTTGGCGATCTGTTCTCTCTGGCTACCCCGTTAGGGATTGTGCGTGAAGATAAGTAAGTAAGTAAGTAAATATTTTCCAGTTCATGGTCATTAGTATATGCCAGATGACAAAGATTTTGCATTAATTGAAAAAAAAAAACGCACTGATTTCCCCGAAGTACCAACAGATTGGGGTGAACTTATTAGAGAGGCTAGGATAATCCCAAGCCCCCTTCAAAGACATGAAAAACGAGGGCTTTGTAGACATGATAAATTCCATAAGCCCATATTTTTTGAAATCCCCAAGGCTTACACTAGGCCTTCACAAATTAAGAGTTATTGAAATAAAGGCAGACTGTCCCTATGTAAAAAGAAAGATGAATTTCATGGTTTATACACATGTTGCACAGTTCGCAACCAAAAGAAGTTGAAGAATAAGATTGCATTAGAGCAGCTATATTTTGAAAATTTACCCATACCTGTAGCAAAAGCAAAGGGTTTACTTAGTCCAAGTGCATTTGTTAAAAGGCCATGATAGTAGTGCATATTATTTAGAGCTATGTCAAAATGTCACGCCAGGTGCGAACCAAAATTCTATAGAGGTTGACGAAGATGATAATAGTGATGGTTGTGAGTCCTAAATGTTTTGAATAAAGTAAAAACGTATTATTTTATTTCATAAACTACTATTTTCTTACTGGTAGTACTAGGCTGCACTAAAAGTATCGGGAATGGAATATTTCCACTGTTCCTGTCATATTAAAATGTTTTTAATTGAAAACTCCTTGGTTTTAAAAATCGAATACCATTTATTTATTTAAAAAAAAGATTCTCGGTCTTGTCACACGGTTTTGTCAAACTTGTTTAGTCGTTGAGAAAATGGAATTGACTCGAGAAAATTCAAGAGCGATGATTTATTATGACTTTCGAAGTGGTTTAACACAAAAACAGTGTGTTGTTGACCGGATGATTTCTGCATTTGGTGATGAAGCCCCATCCAAAACCACAATTTATCACTGGTTTGCTGAATTTCAACGTGGACGTGTCAAGCTCAGTGATGATCCCCGACAAGGTCGTCCAAAAACTGCAGTCACCCAAAATGCAAAAACGTTGATGCTGTGCGTAAGCTGATTGAGGAAGATCGACATGTGACATACCGCGAAATTCAGGCAACTTTAGACATTGGCATGAGTCAAATACAAATAATCTTGCATGAACAATTAGGTGTAAAAAAATTGTTTTCCCGATGGATACCGCATTCGCTTTGTGAAGAGCAAAAAGCGGCTCGCGTTACTTGGTGCGTCAGAACTCTCGAAAGATTCCACGCAGGATTCTCAAATGCTGTATACAACATCGTATCAGGTGACGAATCCTGGATATACGCGTACGAACCCGAAACAAAAAACCAGTCACGAGTTTGGGTGTTCGAAAATGAGTTAAAGCCAACAAAAATTGTTCGTTCACGGAGTGTTGCAAAAAAAAAAATGGTGGCCACGTTTGTCTCCAAAACCGGCCATGTTACGACTATTCCTCTTAAGGGACAAAGAACGGTTAATGCAGAATGGTATGCTAGCATTTGTTTGCCACAGGTCGTTTCTGAACTCCGTAAAGAGAACTGCAACCGCCGCATCATCCTCCATCACGACAATGCGAGTTCTCATACCGCACACAGAACAAGAGAGTTTTTTATAGCAAGAAAACATAGAATTATTAGACCATCCGCCGTACAGCCCCGGCCTAAGCTCTTAATGATTTCTATACTTTCCCTAAAATAAAGAATAAATTGCGTGGACAGAGATTATTCCAAACATTGACAAATTTTCATAAGAAGAACTTTTTGTTTCTTGTTTTTTTTTTTAACTTTTAACTTAAAAACGTGATAAAGAGTATCTCAGAATGTTTTTCGTTTTTGAACGCGCCCACCGCAAGTAGCAGGGGAAGGGGAGTGGTCTCAAATGCTTGGCCGGCTTGTTAAGTTTAGTAGCCATGAATCGTTTTATAAAAACAACAATTCCTACAATATTGTTCGTCGTCTCTACAAGACACATTTTAATTTAACAAGCTTAAAACATGTGTCAAGTGCCAATTTAATTAAACATTGGGTGTGTAAGTTTGAAGAGACTGGAAATACAATGCCGAACAAATCGTCTGGGCGCAAAAGGACATCAAGAACGAGCATGAACGTCGCCCGCGCTCGCCAGTCTGTTATGGACGACCCATGACGGTCGTTGAGATTGCGCGCAGCTAACTTCTCTTAATTTGAACAAATATACGGTTCATCGCATTATTTCGAAAGACTTATATTTTCACCCCTATAAAACTGTTATTGTTCAAGAAATGAAGCCTGATGATCCTGATAAACGAGTCGAATTCTGCAGGATAATGCAAAACCGTTTAAGGAGTTTCAATAACATCTGGTTCTCCGACGAATCGAATTATCATATCAACGGTCACGTCACTAAACAAAATTGCAGATACTGGGCTTCAGAGAATCCGCTAGAACTGCATCAGAAGCCTTTGCACTCGCCAAAAGTCGTTGTTTTGCCATATCAAGTCAAGGAATCGGTCCTTATTTTTTGAGGATGACCGAAGTCGATCTAAGACGTACACATTGAAATAATACTAGTTTTTACGGAATTTATCGCGTATATTTAAGTTTTTAAATACGGTACGTTTCGAGCGCTTTACAGCACCCATGGTTACCGGGGGGGGGGGGGGGGGGGGCTTATCACTCACGGGGGCTGTAAAGCGCTCGAAACGTCGGGTATTTAAAAAGTAATTATACGCGATAAATTCCGTAAAAACTAGTATTATTTCGATCTAAGACCGATAATTCTGATCGATATTGCCATATGATCCGGACTTTTTTGGCTACAAAAATGCAAAACCAAACTGGCTACAACCGCAACACCTTGTTCCAGCACTTCTCATGTTACAAATGACTCATTAGCGGCTCTTCACAATTTATTCCCTGGAAGAGCGATAAGTCGCCGAGGAGACTTCAACTGTCCACTGAGGAGCCTTTAACGTCTGCTAATTTTTTCTTAAAAAGTAAAGTTTACTATCCATTGCCACCCGACCTGAACGTTTTGAAGCAAAGAATCACTGAAAAAAATCAACTCCATTCCAAGAGCGATATGGATATCGCTCCGGAATGGAGTTGATTTTTTGCCAGCGATTGAAAATTTTAGCTCCAGTTTAAATGAGTGTAAACAAGGGAATGGTGCGCATTTGCAAACGGTTGTTTTTCATAAGTAAACTTCAAGAACTGCTCTTTAATTTAACAGTAAATAAAACGAGTTTTAATTGATATTGTTGTTTTTTATTTAACATCTAAAAACGAAAAACATTCTGAGACACCTTTTATAATTAAAAATAATTAAAGATTTTATTGTATATACTATTATTTGTATTTATATACTCTAAGTGAAGTAAATATCAAAAGATGTTTTTACTCCCATATTTCCATTTTTATTAGTTTTATTTACTTCCTGTAAAGTTTTGTGAATTTGACATTGGTTGTTTTTTGAAAACACATAAATATCCACGACATTTTATTTTAAATACACTTTTTTGCGCTCCTTTTAATTTGTCCATGAGTACGAGTAATATGTGTATCTCGAAAAATAGGGTACAATTTTCATTGTGTTAAATGAATATAAACTAGAAACAGTATTGGGCTTTATCACAGTTATTAAACTCATAAACATATTGTTAGTTTAAATTATTATATTCTCCAATATAGACCAATTTAAAAAAATATTCAGATGTTATTCTTCACCGCCGAGTACGTGGTCTCAAAGTTCATCATCAGCACTTAGAATTACAATTAAAAATGTCATTGGTGCCGGCGGGGATCGAACCCGGGTTGCTCGCGTACTGTGAAATTTACAGCGAGGGCTAATCATCTGAGTTACCAGGGCTTGTGACACGCTTGTCAGGTACTAATATTTTAGGTAAATTGAAACCATTAACAAAATGTTAGTCAGTTAATTTCAAAACTATTCTTTTTTATACGAGTACAAAAAAGTAACGCATTCAGTTAATGCACTTTTACTTGACAGTGTGCATACGCGCAAGTGCGTGCACGTGAACCTGTCGGGCCAGTGGCACCAATTTGAGTATGTGTGTATATGTGCACGTGTGCATATGTATGCGTGTACGTGTGTGCGTGCGCACTCACCGCACAGTGCACGGCGACCTGCCGCGCCAGCAGCGCCACGTTGTGGTCGGACACGCAGTGCGCGTCCACGTGCGCGAGGAACGTGCCGCCGATGCGCTCCTCCTTGCTCTTCACGAACACGCGGTTCATGCTGTGCTCGAACGGCTCCACTACCACGATGCAGAAGTTCAGCTGACCCTGTGTAATGCAGGATAAGGTGTTAATAAGGTGTGTTGTTCGTTCTATGACTTTAATTAAAGTTATTTAAAGATACAGGCTACTACATCCCACTACTGGGCACAAGCCTCGTTTCATGTCTGAGAGGGTTTTAGGGTTTGGTGGACTACACAAGACTCACGAAGGTTTCCTTCACCGCAGAGCACGTGGTTTACCATGACTTTTATTAAACTAAAAAACTGAACATAATTACAACATGCTGACAGGTATCATATAAAACAAACATTTAAAAAAATCTAATACACTTATTTTATTAACAATAAAGTTTCTTCCTCAAAGTTTTATTATATGCGTATATAAATTAAATACTAAATTAAATTACATACTTGGAATAAAAAAGAACTAATATAATTTGTTGATGTTTAAATAATAATTTATTTGTAAAAAACTAATATGTTTGTTTTTTGTGGAGGCCACAGAACCCATGAAAACCTCAGATCATACAATATTACTGGATAAACACATGTGGTATAATGGCGAGTGTTGTTGTCCGAAAACCGTTTAACAAGAAGACTAAATGTTTTACGATTCTGAAAGCGACTTTAAGAACGAGGTATTAAGATTCTAAAAACTTGTATTAGCTTTCGGCGCGGCATGATTACCTATTATTTGATAGTATCAGATCGAGAATTCAGTTATTTTATTGCATTGGTTCACATTATTAGATGACAACGTCAAGAAATAAGTTTTACAAATTACCATTAGCTACCGATATTAATTTATTTGCTTAAATTAAAATCCCAGTCAATAAGAAATGTATTGTCAACATCAGCGTGCGTTACTCTAATTAAACTGTTCAAATAAGTTGTGACGTACTCCTCATTTAAGTAAATAGTATCTATATTAATATACTTGCATTTTAAATGTTGAATTTTAAGGAAAATCACAAATCTCCAACCGTAGACACCCAAACGTTTTTTCTATCAACTTGATTCTTTTTCAAAACCGCCGTTAAGACTGCACCACCATTTTTTTTTAGTTTTATATTTTTCTTAACTCTAATATATATTGATGGAGGCCTATGCCCAGCAGTGGCCTTCAATAGGCTGTAACGGTAACGTTATAGAACACTATATCACACCTGTACGACCAAACGATACTATTAGAGACGATATTGGTATCTACTTTATACTAGGGATGGCTATACCACGTTTACCGTTGGTATCTCATAAAATAAACTTTTAGATTTCGAAAATTCGACTGTATTTCTCGAAACTTCTGTTAATTCCGAGCTCCAGTGCAGTCTACATATTGGTAAACTAGCGTCGAAATAAAATTTCGCAATCTTCGCTATTGAAAGGATTAGAAACTGAATATTGAAGCGACAGCAAAATTAGTGTACTTTGATGAGGTCTTACGGTATATTACTGTGGAGATCAATTTTCATTTTGGCTTGGCCTGGATAGGAGCTCTTAATGTGGTGTTATTTACATTTGAGCTGATCTAAGACCATATACATTTGTTTAATACTAGCGACGCGCCCCTGCTTCGCCTGGATAGGAGCTCTTAATGTGGTGTTATTTACATTTGAGCTGATCTAAGACCATATACATTTGTTTAATACTAGCGACGCGCCCCGGCTTCGCCTGGATAGGAGTTCTTAATGTGGTGTTATTTACATTTGAGCTGATCTAAGACCATATACATTTATTTAATACTAGCGACGCGCCCCGGCTTCGCCTGGATAGGAGCTCTTAATGTGGTGTTATTTACATTTCAGCTGATCTAAGACCATATACATTTGTTTAATCCTAGCGACGCGCCCCGGCTTCGCCTGGATAGGAGCTCTTAATGTGGTGTTATTTACATTTGAGCTGATCTAAGACCATATACATTTGTTTAATACTAGCGACGCGCCCCGGCTTCGCCTGGATAGGAGCTCTTAATGTGGTGTTATTTACATTTGAGCTGATCTAAGACCATATACATTTGTTTAATACTAGCGACGCGCCCCGGCTTCGCCTGGATAGGAGCTCTTAATGTGGTGTTATTTACATTTGAGCTGATCTAAGACCATATACATTTGTTTAATACTAGCTGACGCGCCCCGGCTTCGCCTGGATAGGAGCTCTTAATGTGGTGTTATTTACATTTGAGCTGATCTAAGACCATATACATTTGTTTAATACTAGCGACGCACCCCGGCTTCGCCTGGATAGGAGCTCTTAATGTGGTGTTATTTACATTTCAGCTGATCTAAGACCATATACATTTGTTTAATACTAGCGACGCTCCCCGGCTTCGCCTGGATAGGAGCTCTTAATGTGGTGTTATTTACATTTGAGCTGATCTAAGACCATATACATTTGTTTAATACTAGCGACGCGCCCCCGGCTTCGCCTGGATAGGAGCTCTTAATGTGGTGTTATTTACATTTCAGCTGATCTAAGACCATATACATTTGTTTAATACTAGCGACGCGCCCCGGCTTCGCCTGGATAGGAGCTCTTAATGTGGTGTTATTTACATTTCAGCTGATCTAAGACCATATACATTTGTTTAATACTAGCGACGTGCCCCGGCTTCGCCTGGATAGGAGCTCTTAATGTGGTGTTATTTACATTTCAGCTGATCTAAGACCATATACATTTATTTAATACTAGCGACGCGCCCCGGCTTCGCCTGGATAGGAGCTCTTAATGTGGTGTTATTTACATTTGAGCTGATCTAAGACCATATACATTTATTTAATACTAGCGACGCGCCCCGGCTTCGCCTGGATAGGAGCTCTTAATGTGGTGTTATTTACATTTCAGCTGATCTAAGACCATATACATTTGTTTAATACTAGCGACGCGCCCCGGCTTCGCCTGGATAGGAGCTCTTAATGTGGTGTTATTTACATTTGAGCTGATCTAAGACCATATACATTTGTTTAATACTAGCGACGCGCCCCGGCTTGGCCTGGATAGGAGTTCTTAATGTGGTGTTATTTACATTTGAGCTGATCTAAGACCATATACATTTGTTTAATACTAGCGACGCGCCCCGGCTTCGCCTGGATAGGAGCTCTTAATGTGGTGTTATTTACATTTCAGCTGATCTAAGACCATATACATTTGTTTAATACTAGCGACGTGCCCCGGCTTCGCCTGGATAGGAGCTCTTAATGTGGTGTTATTTACATTTCAGCTGATCTAAGACCATATACATTTGTTTAATACTAGCGACGCGCCCCCGGCTTCGCCTGGATAGGAGCTCTTAATGTGGTGTTATTTACATTTGAGCTGATCTAAGACCATATACATTTATTTAATACTAGCGACGCGCCCCGGCTTCGCCTGGATAGGAGCTCTTAATGTGGTGTTATTTACATTTGAGCTGATCTAAGACCATATACATTTGTTTAATACTAGCGACGCGCCCCCGGCTTCGCCTGGAAAGGAGCTCTTAATGTGGTGTTATTTACATTTCAGCTGATCTAAGACCATATACATTTGTTTAATACTAGCGACGCGCCCCGGCTTGGCCTGGAGAGGAGTTCTTAATGTGGTGTTATTTACATTTGAGCTGCTCTAAGACCATATACATTTGTTTAATACTAGCGACGCTCCCCGGCTTCGCCTGGATAGGAGCTCTTAATGTGGTGTTATTTACATTTGAGCTGATCTAAGACCATATACATTTGTTTACTACTAGCGACGCGCCCCTGCTTCGCCTGGATAGGAGCTCTTAATGTGGTATTATTTACATTTGAGCTGCTCTAAGACCATATACTTAAGTATTCAATTTTTCAAAAAAAATTCTATGCCAATTATGTTAGTTAAGTATTAATGGCATGCAAATAACCCCTGAGCTTGATGTAAGCCAGTTATTTCAATATTACAAACAGACACTTGAATTTTATTTTTATGTATAGATAAATGAATACCAGACGGATAATTTATAAGACGAGCCCACAGGCCACATGGTGGCAAGTGGATGCATTTAAAATTCAAAGACTTTATAATAAATTTTGACTTGTATAAAGGCCTTATGGACGCCAGAGTCTACATATGTTCGGAAAACATGACCTTTTTAAAGAAGAACCGGCAAGAAGCTCTTGGTCATTGATGTTTTTTGAATGTATATGTTACAATTGCGTTTACAATGTCTAAATGTAAAGTAATATATTTTAAGTCACTTTTTAACAACATATAAATAGCCAGCATTTCATACACTTTCTCAACGGAGACATTAAAACTGTCACCATGACCGAAATTAAATCTCGAGAACATAATTATACAATGTTTGGTATCAATAGTAGTTCACCTTAATGGTGTGTATGTTGAAATCTGCTCCGGAGTCGTTGTAGACGATGGAGACGTAGTCGTTGCCGATGTACTTGCGCTTCTCGTTGCACGACGGGTCCTTGGGCGAGGATGGCATTGCGGTCGCCACGTGGAACTGAACCTGCGATTGAAACAATCGTTCAGCTGGACCTTCACACTTATATATTCTACATACATTACGCATCTTGAGTTACATGAAATTCTCGGTACCTCTTTTAGTAGTTTGTTGTGATAACCGCGAACGTTGTTTTCAACAATCTAACATTGATATTGTTTAATGTAACTAATACAATGCTATCATTATTTATGTGCCGACCTTTTTCAACGTGATTTGAAGTTTATTTCAGATAAATGTGTAAGTTTATTTATTATTTGCCTAAAAACAGTATCTGTCGTAGATGAAAATATTTTTATCTTTTTTACCGTCTGAAATAAAATATGGTATAATATGCGAACGAAGTAGAAGCCTATAGTACTGATATTTTACAATTTTTTTCGTTTATATCAATATATTATAAAATTGATCTATCAATAAATACTACAAATTCGGAGCGTATTATTTTAATTTCGATAGATTTTAATTGATTTATTTATTGAGTTCAAAATATTTGTTTTTGTTTTTTTTTTTAGAACCAAAAGTTTATTTCAAATTAGTAAGTATTTATTGATAGATCAATTTCATAATAATATGTTAATTTAAAAGAAAAAAAATTGTAAAATATCAGTGTCATATGCTTATACTCCGTTCACCAGTTACATTCTATTTTTTTGCTGCGTGCCATATTTATCTTGCCCGCTATCCGCTGTGACACACTTTATTGATCTGAATTAATTTTTCTGCTAATTAGAGCTAGAACGCAATATTGTCAGGCGGTGGTGCGGCAGGCCGCTGTATGTACGGTCTGCCGTATCAGTGCACCGTGTCTGGCTACCCGTGTCGTCTTGGTTCTATTGCGGGCCGCCGCAACAGTTATTATGTTTAATATTGAGTGTATTTGCTATTCCATATGGCTGATTATTGTGGCATTGTTTGATTTGTAAAGTGAATTTTTGTGATAACAAATGCCTGAAACGTGCACCCCGCGTACCGTCTCGCGAAGGAGGCGGAGGGGGTAGGGGGGGTATCGAGGCGCCATCAGTACACTCACAGCGGTTGTCAGGTGTCCGCAAGTCAGTGCATCGATATCTTGCGGTTTCATGTAAAAATTGAAGTGCGGTCTGCTCTGCCGCATCACGCACATCCGCTAGTGCGTTCTTGCTCTTAAGGGTACACTAGTCGCTTATTCTTCCATACAAACTTAGTCCGGCGATTACTACACTGTTTGATGGTGTACGTTCAAAATAAATAATGATTTCAATTTGTCTCATCATCGAAAATTGCAAAACAGTTATCATACAGGGATAGATTAGTTGTTCAAAAATGCAAATAATTTTATTTTAAACAGATACATTCAATAGATTTTTCATGACATCCAGATTACCAAAAGTCTGTTTATAAAATTTCGCGCGCTCCTTTTTGTTGTAAGTCATCTTGCCTTTCGCTACAAATTGTTTCCCCGATCAGTGGGACGGACGGAGGGGGGGGGGGGGGCGCAGCGCGCACTCACACATGCTCACTAGGTTAACCGCTGCTATCTATTTATGGTTGTAATACCTACGTATCTACATCTTTATTTAGAAAAGTTGCATCCTTTTGTTCGTGTCCATTGCTGAAGCCGGGATGAATATAGCTGCTAAAATGTGCCCATAAGTTTGTTGAAGCACATTTAGTTAAAATTGAAAACAGATAGGTACATAATAATGAACTTTAGATACAGGTAGTACATTAGGTACTTCATTACTTTAATTTACTAACAAAAACATCTCATAGATAAGCACGATTATCGAAAATCTTAAAATTATCTATTAATTTAAGTAGAATAGGTAATTTTAATATTTTCGATAATCGTGCTTACGTATAGGAATCTCATATTCTAATATACCTAATGTAATTTATGTAAGTACATAAGAATCTAAGAAGGGCAGTCAATGATAAATAAAATTTGTTTTGTAAGTTGTTTTTTTTAAAACACTTTAACACAACAAAACATCAAACAGAAGCAGCACCCGAAGTGCCGAAACAAACTCAGAGAGGTCAGTCCAGGTATTACATTGGTCATGTCATACGAGAACCAGGCTAATATGGTCCTTTGAAGAAAGAATCATACAGATGTGAGTGGACAACTAAGGCCAGTTTCAGAGCTCGACCGACCGTCGGTGCGTACGTCGGTCGTGCTTGCCTTTTGTATGAAAATTCACAAGTCGTTACAGTGCTCGACCGACTGTACGCACGCGTATATAACTACGCACTGCGTACGAGGACCGTCGGTCGAGCGCGTCCGCATGCGTAACGTCGGACGACCGACGCGCTATGGAAACATATTGACGCGTTCAGTTCTACACCGACCGTACGGATGCGTGTATCATCGTCAAGAAAATCAAACCTAAACTTTAATAATATTGTATGATATTATAGGTATTAAGTAGTGTTAGTGATTTAAGTAATTTATATCAAACATGGCATATGTCGACACCGAACGCCTTTTTTTTTTTTTTCTTTGTTTTCTTACCGTTTACGAAGTAAGCAATATCATTTTTTTGTTTTTGTTATTATCGGTTAAGCGTATCATCAGGACCGATGGTACGCACTGACGGTCGGTCGAGCTCTAAAATCGGCCTTAGTACTTTTTAGGATTCCGTACCCGAAGAGTAACCAGCAGGGCCCTATTACGGAGCCTCCGCAATAGGTAGATGGTTGTCATTTTCACAGAACGTGTATTTCTGTTGCCGCTATAAAAGGAAATAGTAAAAATAAATTTGATATTAAAGGATTTTCTACTAGAAAAAGAAACGTGTATTTTTGGCTTTTTTTGATCGATAGTAGGAGTATGTATAGGTATTTAAATCTTGTAAGATGGTACGGAAGCTCGGAAGTCCGATTCGCACTTGGCAAAATATTTGTTTATATTTAACCTTACCTCAGGCATACTCATATTTTTTATACATAATTTACTATACTACTATATAAACTACTACTAAATAAAATAGTAGTAGTTTTGCTATGGTATTATAGTATATTTTGGATTAGATTTAATTTATTACAGAATAATACGAACTATATAAAAACTAAGGAGCGCATCAACCTACCTCAGATATTGGGTTATGAATACAGATAAGTACACAAAGGATTTAGTTTCTAATTTGTACATATTTTATAGCCTTCGTTATCAATAGCAACAGGCCAAACCCCCTAGCCTACAAACGTTTCGTAACGAATCTTTTTCTACAATCGCGCCTTTTATTTGTTTGGACTGAACACCTGACTCGTTCAGTGATGTCATTCCCATACAGTGTTTAGTTTTCAACTAGCTTTATCTACCATAATATAAATCAAAATTTTATTTATATTTCGCTAATTGTGTCTGTACTGTGAATTTGATTTACAATCGATCTCTAAATTGTAGTTTTCTTCTAATTACTTACCTTGCCTAGACGGGTTCTTTGGAATTCTGTAAGGAAGTCTGTGCTGTTAGTATTCCGTTTATATACGTTACTATTTTGATAGACGTTTGTGCTTGTCCCCGCAGTGACACAATACCTATTGATGATAACTTTCTAAGTACTAAGAGAATATTTCAAACCGCTACTGGACACAAACAATCAATAAACAATTTACAAACTAACATTTTTTATTTATTTATTTAACCTATATAAAAGCCCCACTCACATCAAAATCGCGCTGTCGAAAAAGTAGTTATCCTGACACTGGCTGACATATACTTCGGGGAGTTGCCTGCGGGCTATTATAGCTAACTAGCTATGGAAAGTAAATACCTATTTAGAATACATAGTACCTACAGTAATATTTGCATAACCTACAATAAAATACAAAAACATAAAGAAAACATAATTATGTTACACTTTTTTGTGTTTGTTTTAGAAATGGTTACATTTTTTTCAAAAATTTACCAGTTTTAGTTGAGAGTTATGTCCCTTTAGTGGGTACAAGCGTAATATTATATTGTGTGATTGCGTAAAGAATGCATAGATAGGCATAGGATAGCAGCAATCGCGGTTGATTTGCTGTCATTTATTGAAGAGTGCCCCCGATTTCTCCAATATCCCATCATTAGATCCTGACTAGACCATCATCAATTACCGTGGGATTATCTGGAAAATATATCCTTTCAAACAAAAAAAATAATTTTCCAAATCGGTTCAGGCTTCAGGCATCTTCGAGAAATCGGGGGAAAGAACATACATAAACAAAAACCAACGAATTAAGAACCACCTCCTTTTTTCGAAGTCGGTTAAAAAGTAGGTAAAAACAAATCAATGAAATTATTATATAATACCAACATCTACTTAAGTTCACATAAGAACTTTAAATAACAATACATAAATTGGGTTCATAATAATTACGTTTCACACAGCAGATCCTAAGTTATAATAACACCAATTTGTTTTCTCTCTCCTTTCTCTTTTTAAAATACGTTAACCCCACAGTAGGATTTTCTCCAGTATCGTGGAGGCAGTTTACAAGCATGGTACACGATGACGCTGTCGCGCATTGCGTCACTCGAGTGCGTAAGTGTGTGCGCACTAGCTTCTTACTGCTCATCACAGCATCTATCCCTTTCGCACGTGATGTCGGCTGAGATAGCATGTATTTTACCCCGCCCACCACTTAGTTCGTGCCATCGACTAGGGCCACCTTAAGCATCGGGTCAAATATTTGACGGACTTCATAGTAAGGGGAAGTTAGTTTGTTGAGAAGTGGTAAAATTATACATTTTATACAACCGACTTTAATAAAATAAAATGAAAACATCATGAATGTATTCCAAGTCAATCAAATACGCATTATTAAGAACAATCGAAAATTTTATACGTGGTAGAGCCACGCTGCAGTTAGATTAGTAGTATAGTTGTAGCACGAATGGGTCGGCTCGGGACCATGCTCTCACAGAATACCAGCGTCAAATAGCAGCTTAATGCTGCTTTTTTAATTATTATTATGTTATGTATGTCATTTATGGAAATATCAATTATTATATAATAATTGATATGTCCATAACTGTATTATTAACTCTTCTCCAGTTTTACTGCGGAAATTCCTAAAATCTTTTGGTCTTTGTAGACCAGCTACGTTGGATTGTGGTCCTTCTCTGTTACTTGATGAAATCAACTAATATTTCGCTTCTGTAAAAGCACTGCACCCTACAATTCGTTCCCAAACTATGGCTTCCATTGCTTTTATGCAAATTCCTAACATTCCTACCTTTAATTATTCTCCTGTTTCTCAGGATGTCAAAAAGTCGATTTTAGCAATCCAGTCCAAGGCCGTGGGTAACGATGAGATTAGTAGACATATGGTAGTATTTATACTAGAGCACCTTCTCCCTGCAATTTCCCATATAATCAATTTTTCCCTTGGTTCAGGTCAGTATCCTAATCTTTGGAAGAGATAAATTTTGGAAGCGTTTCGAATGGTGAGTGTAGAGAACCGGAGACCCTTTTTACTGGAAACGAGGCATTCCATCTTAGTCCTCACGGGTGACAACGCATCTGCATTTTGATTCGTAGTGAAGGATAAACGTAGATGTCTATGGGCCAAAGCAACCACTTACCATCAGGTGGGCTGTGTGCTCGTTTGTCACTTTATCCTATAAAAAAAACAACTCAAAAGCTACTGGTCAGATCTTGACCAAATTTACATTAGCGCACATGAGAAGCACCAGCTTTCAAATAAAAAAGAATCATCAAAATCGGATCACACAGAAAAAACATTCTTTAGGTAACACACATAAAAACCTACAGTCGAATTGAGTACCTTCTTCTTTTTGTAGTTGGTTACAAAGTTTAAAGATTTTTTGTTTGTTTTTATTTTATGAAAAAAATCATCACCTAACTGGCAACTAGCAATATCTGGTGAGCGTAACATGTTTAACTCTTGGCATTGGCCAATGTAATAGCAGCATATTGTAGTCGTATCACGAATGGGTCGGCTCGACCGGGAAAGGACCACGCTCTCACAGAATACAAGCGTAAAATAGCAGCTTAGTGCTGCTGTGTTTCGTATAATGAGTGTAGAGAGTCCTTTTACTGGAAACGAAGCATTCCATCTTACTCCTCACGGGTGTCAAAGCATCTGAATTTTGATACTTAATCGAGGATAAATGTAGATGTCTATAGACCTCAGCATCTATTTACTATCTGGTGGGCTATGTGCTCTCTTGTCATCCTTATTTTATATAAAAATACATAGAAGTGTTCGTATGGTAACGACCTGCATGATATCGTCGTTCCAGACGTATGTGTACTGGCCGTCCTTGCCGCCCTTCTCCAGGTTGAGGAACAGGTTGGGCTCGTCGCCGCCGTCCAGCGGGACCAGCGTGCCCAGCTGCCTCAGGAACTCTGAGTACCTGCACAAGCCAACATACACTAATATGTTTTTCCATGTCAATTTGAACAGTTATTTTTTATTGCATTATGATTCTTAATCGAGCATAAATGTAGATGTCTATGACCACCACATCCACTGATCTATACAATAAGTGAACTGTGTGTTCGTTTGTCACCTTTATTCCATATAAAAATGATAACTGAAGCCCTTTTTACTAAAACCGACGCATTCCATTTTAGTCCTCCGGGATGACAACGCATCTGCTTTTTGATTCATAGTCGGAGATAAGTGTAACATGTCTATGGGCCAGAGCATCTACTTTCCACACTGCGGACTGTGTGCTCGCTCGTTACCCCTGTTCAAATAAACGCCCGTAACATATACGAAACCTACGAAACCGATTAATGAGCGTATTTTGACTTAAAAATTACGAAATTCTCGCAGCTAAGGCTGGGTACACACTTAAAGTAAATTTTGCGATACAATATGATAACAGTAAATAAGATACATATGGCGAACAGGAACACATACCTAACACTGCCATATTCATTTTTGAGTATAGCAACTTCATTGTCTTGTTGACCCGGACCTACGTAAAGCACCCCTATCTGTAATAAAAGAAAAAATAGTATATATCAGTACTTATAAATTATAAAATGAAATAAATGATTTTATTCAATATCGTAGAAGATTATTACATGATTCTTATTTGAAGTTTTTTTTATTTACCATTGGTTCGGAAAATACCTCAGTCCTTGGATGAACCAGTAAGAATGGTTTTCTTACTTAAAAAATAAAGAACACTACAATATTTTTTTAACAATTTTTAATGAATTTGAATAGAACCAGCATGTGGCGATAACCTCATACACACAATAAATTTTAAGTTTATGTTTTTTTTTAAATTTAGATACTTTTACGTATTATTTTTTGGGTTTGATTTTCAACCATGTCAGTGGTCGAACAACAAATAAGGATATTTATATGCCATTAGGACATGAAAAATCACTTTTAAAATTTTTGTCTGTGTGTCTATCTGTTCGGGATAATCTTCTGACCGGCTGAATCGATTGTGATAAAACTTCTAAAACACATAGAGCACATCTTTGGAGTGCCTGTGAATATACTGTATGCGAAAATATTGGAGATTTACTTACTTTAGTTAAAGTAACTATTATATTAAATATCAAAGCGTGGCAACCATAGAATACTATAATACATACATAATAGAACGGGGGAGTGGGCAGAGCCCGCTTAGCCACGAACATGTCACTAACACGTTAATTTATACCTATAAATGTCAACACAATCGTTTTCAATGTTCGTGTCAAGCAAAGCTGCATGCAAATTATTTAAAAAATGGCAAATTATGCAATAATTACGTGTCGAAAGAACAGCGGGAAATAAAATTTAAGTAAAAGAGACATACCCTACAACCAGTAAGTCGAAACTCTTTATACTTTTGTAAATAGTAGAAACAAAAATAAAGAATAATTGATGTGTTAAAAACATTAATCAATAGTCTAAAATGTGTAAATTCGCTCAGTCTGTCAACACAGCAAATCGGGTTTGTAGTAGTGATAATAGGACGTAATTGCTTGTATGTGTGCTCCCGGCGACACCGATCTTCGTACAAAATAAGGTTGACAGCCATGCTATTGTGTATTATAGTATTGAAATAATACTAGTTTAGAAATTAGTTAGTTAATTTTTGGCCACATTTGCCCTGAATGTCTAAACTGTGTTTTTTATACGCGATAAATTCCTTTGTATTTGTTGTTCTAAAAGATTGTGTAATAGTATCTACGGTGGCAACTATGTCGAGTATACTATAAGTTCAATCCATGTAGGCGTATGGGAATCCATTACCTCATATCATCTCGAGGGCCTCGTCAGGGCGACAGAGGGAAACTGAAATAGGAGATGGGCAGTAACTCCATAATAGGGCTTCATATGGGCTAGCTGATACTTTTCGTGTGAATGCTATGAGGTAATCTATGGGCTCCCCCATTTAAGTTCATCAGTGGACTCTACGACTGTAACAGTAACGGTAAACTCGACAAAATCCTTGAAAGCAGTTTATTTAACATATTTAAGTTAAAGTTATCGTTATATTAACTACCATACCTTGTACGTCTCTAGTGGAGGCACGAGGTCTAAATTCTTTATCGTTCTTTCGTGTTGGACTCCAGTCACTTTGAGTGGTCGTTCTGTTAAAGGGTTTAACATCGTTGGAGCTTCCCCTACAATAAAAAAGTATTTATTTATTTATTTAATAGTTTCTGTACATAACTTTTTTATAGAATAAGGATAACAAACGAGCACACAGTCCACCTGATGGTAAGTGGATGCTGTGGCCAATAAATATCTACATTTATCCTCGATTTAGAATCAAAATTCAGATGCGCTGTCACCTGCGAGGACTAGGATCGAATGCCTGTAATATTATTCTTAATAATTATTCTTTTATTTATATATACATTTGTAGCAAAAAGAATAATGCAACTTCCCTATTAGAAATAATAGAAGAAATACCTACAAAGAGTTGTAGTTGCAGCTCGTATATCGTGTATA